CATTTCGCACGCCTCCAACATTCGGCACTATCATTACAGGGTACTCTCATCCAACCATCCACCCATCTACCCATCCGATCCGCACACTTTCCGGCTCTTGAGGAGTCCCAGTCCCCCACCTCCACTCATTCATTAAAAGATTACGCCGCCCTATCGACTTGGACGTGCGGCCACTCGGAGCTGATCTCCTGATAACTCCCGATAAGCACCCATTCATGCCCCGAGCCACAACTAACTAACTGAATGGCCCACTCGAACAGAAGCGCGGAAAGATTAAGGAACAAGTCCTTGGCAAGGCCAGTATTAAACAGGAAATTTGGGAATTCATAAACAGTTTTGTTAATAATTAAGCATTAATATTAATAAAACATTACTAACTCAGAAGTATCTTAAATATAAATATTCATTTATTTTGTAATTTAAAACAACTATGGTTATGGAGGGAAGACTTTAGAACCAATTTTATGCTGCATACTTTAGGAATACCAAATTTTCTTTCATTTTTCACCCGAGAAGGGGGGATTTATACCCCATTTCTCCTTCGTGGATCTGCGCGAGGTATTAAGTATATTTATCCAACAGGTTTTTTAATGTAATTAAAACAAATTTTAAGCGGGATACAAAACTAAAAGTGCTTATAGGGGATTTCAAACTGTAATTGAAAATCATATGCCATTAAATAACTTTATTTGTTTTCCAAGAACACTTTCCTTTAAATAAAATGTTTTATTCACATGTATAATTTTTTTATTTCCAAACCTTAATTTAAACTATAACTTAATCTTTCCAATTAGTACCCGCTATTAAGAAAGATTCACAAAGCTAACATATTTTCATTAAATTATAGACCTTAGAGAACAGATTCTCTTACGTCATGTTTTTACGTCATAAATCATTCTAGCATGGTTTATAATATAAAGTTTATATTTATATTTTCATTATTCACATTTTCAGGTATCTAAAACCTTAGGACTAGCAAGGAAACAGCCGTTTTGCTGCCAATGAAGTTCAAATAAAATCTTATTAATAAATTAAATATTATCTGCCTTCAAAGTGGTTTAAAAGATCCAATTAAAATATGGATAGTCCCAAAAACATCCAATAAATAGTCACAGAAAGTTATGTTTTATGCATTTGATTTATTTAAAAAAGGTAATAATCGAGCTTAGTAGTAAGCGACGCCGGAGTTGTCGCGGATCCAATCCAGCTGGTTGGTGACGCGGGTGAATCCGGAGGGCAGGCCAGCGGTGCAGCCGTTGCCGGAGACCCAGGAGGTGACTCCCACCAGGCGGCCGCCGTCGTGGAGAACCAGGGGGCCGCCGGAGTCGCCGGAGCAGGTGGACTTGCCACCGGAGGTGGACACACAGAGAATGCCATCGGGCTGGTTGCCATAGGTGCGGGAGCACTCGGAGTTGCTGATGATCTGCAGGTCGACGCACTCCATCCAGTCGGGCTGGGAGCCGGCGGTGGTCAGACCCCATCCGCAGGCGACGGCCCAGGAGTTGTCGTACATGTTGTAGCGGTCGTTGAAGGTCGGCAGCTCCACCTTGTTGACCAGGTTCCAGAAGTCCACGTGCGGGGTGCGGATCAGGGCGATGTCGTTGCCGTTGTTGTTGGGCCAGTTGTGGTTCTGGATGAAGTTGCCGCTGCCGACGGTGTGGGTGAACTGGGCGTTGGTGCGCCAGCTGGCTCCGTAGTAGATGGTCACCTGGCCGGCTCCGTTGGTGCAGTGAGCGGCGGTCAGGACCCAGTCGTGGGCAATGATGGAGCCACCGCACCACCAGCCGCCGTTGCCGCTGAAGCCCAGACCCACGGTGTAGGGGGCCTTGCCCTCGTAAGCCGGGTAGCCGTTCACGATGCGGCCATTCAGCTTGGTGTCCTTGGTCAGATCCTTGGGGTGGACCTGCTGGACAGTCTCGGCGGAGACGGCGGCCAGAGCCAGAGCGAGCACAACGAACACTTTCATGGTGAATGGATCACTTGTTGTCTCCTCCAGTCGGGCCTCTGCTTTTATTGCCCCTCCTTATCGCTGTCTGGAGTAGCCCCCACTCGGCGTTATCCGTTCTCTAAGGGTTCATCGCAATTTCGCGAGCTGATACCAATGGAAATTAATTGATAACGCCCCTAGGAACATCTAGATAGCAAACATTTTAATTTTTGGCGGTTTACCCATGGAAAAGTCTGGGAAGACGAAGTTTGCCCCTTTTTTTAAACCATTATCAGTAGTACATTTTCATTTTTGACGGTTTACCCATGGAAAAGTCTGGGAAGTCGACGTTTGCCCGTTTTTTTTTAACCAATTTGACTAATCTTTCTTATCTCAACTATATGACATAATCATGTGCGGATCAACGGGGTATCTCAATATTATGACGATTTTCTTATGGAAAAATTAAATCAATTCAACATTCTAAAATGAAATGAAGCATTTAGGAAAAAATTGATACCCTTTTAATGTAAAAATTATATTACCGAAATATCGTTTTAACGTTTTCGAGCATATCAAATTTAAGTGGCCGCATATCAAGTTAAAATAGATATTACATAACTTAAAGTCGATCATCGTTCCATATCGTTTTTTTTGGGTGAAGATTGCCAAGTAAATTGACCAACTTATTATATGTCAGCAATATAATATGTGAGATGTATCTTAGTAGTAAATAATCTTAACTAAAGATGTCATCAATGTTGTCCCATTATTACTTGCATATGTTAAACCATTTTTTAAACAACAACCCGAATCGCACTCAAAGTTTTTATCTAATCAATAAACCATTTCCTTTAACTTTCGGACACCATTAATAGTTCATCATTATATCAAAATGATAACCAAACCTTCAAAACCACAATAATTATTTTGCATGCACATCTTTATTTATAAAAGCTTAGTAGTAAGCGACGCCGGAGTTGTCGCGGATCCAATCCAGCTGGTTGGTGACGCGGGTGAATCCGGAGGGCAGGCCAGCGGTGCAGCCGTTGCCGGAGACCCAGGAGGTGACTCCCACCAGGCGGCCGCCGTCGTGGAGAACCAGGGGGCCGCCGGAGTCGCCGGAGCAGGTGGACTTGCCACCGGAGGTGGACACACAGAGAATGCCATCGGGCTGGTTGCCATAGGTGCGGGAGCACTCGGAGTTGCTGATGATCTGCAGGTCGACGCACTCCATCCAGTCGGGCTGGGAGCCGGCGGTGGTCAGACCCCATCCGCAGGCGACGGCCCAGGAGTTGTCGTACATGTTGTAGCGGTCGTTGAAGGTCGGCAGCTCCACCTTGTTGACCAGGTTCCAGAAGTCCACGTGGGGGGTGCGGATCAGGGCGATGTCGTTGCCGTTGTTGTTGGGCCAGTTGTGGTTCTGGATGAAGTTGCCGCTGCCGACGGTGTGGGTGAACTGGGCGTTGGTGCGCCAGCTGGCTCCGTAGTAGATGGTCACCTGTCCGGCTCCGTTGGTGCAGTGAGCAGCGGTCAGGACCCAGTCGTGGGCGATGATGGAGCCACCGCACCACCAACCGCCGTTGCCGCTGAAGCCCAGACCCACGGTGTAGGGGGCCTTGCCCTCGTAGGCCGGGTAGCCGTTCACAATGCGGCCATTCAGCTTGGTGTCCTTGGGCAGATCCTTGGGGTGGACCTGCTGGACAGTCTCGGCGGAGACGGCGGCCAGAGCCAGAGCGAGCACAACGAACACTTTCATGGTGAATGGATCACTTGTTGTCTCCTCCAGTCGGGCCCCTGCTTTTATTGCCCCTCCTTATCGCTGTCTGGAGTAGCCCCCACTCGGCGTTATCCGTTCTGTAAGGGTTCATCGCAATTTCGCGAGCTGATACCAATGGAAATTAATTGATAACCCGCCTAGGAACATCTAGATAGCTAACATTTTAATTTTTGGCGGTTTACCCATGGAAAAGTCTGGGAAGACGAAGTTTGCCCCTTTTTTTTAACCATTATCAGTAGTACATTTTAATTTTTGACGGTTTACCCATGGAAAAGTCTGGGAAGCCGACGTTTGCCCCCTTTTTTTAACCAATTTGACTAATCTTTCTTATCCCAACTTTATGATATAATCATGTGCGGATCAACGGGGTATCTATTAGAGCCCTGCATGAATGGATCCAATGAATTATTTTGAATTTTTTTTGTTATATGAATGAATTAATTAGAATTTTGGAGTTTAATAGAATTGAATGAATTTGAATTTTGAGTTTAATAGAATTGAATGAATGAATGGCATGAATTCCGAAATAATTCAAACGACAATTTATTTTGAAGAAGAAAGGGCCATAATTTTGTGATTAAATCTGCCTGAATTTTATTTACTATGCAGTTAACATTGATTTGTTAAAAATTTTCCACTTTTTGTTCTCAAAAAAAAACAGAAAAAAAATCTGAAAAATTCAAAAAATTCATAAAATAATTCATTCAATTCATTCAATTCGAAATGAATTAGAACAACATTCAATTTATTTCACATAGAATTGAATTAAACAAATCAGAAATTTCATGGCATACTATAATAAAACAAAAATTGAATGATTCATGCAGGGCTCTAGTATCTAAATATTATGACGATTTTCTTATGGAAAAATCATATCAATTCAACTTTGTAAAATGAAATGAAGCATTTAGGAAAAAATTGATACCCTTTTAATGTAAAAATTATATTACCGAAATATCGTTTTACGTTTTCGAGCATATCAAATTTAAGTGGCCGCATATCAAGTTAAAATTGATATTACATAACGTAAAATCGATCATCGTTTAATATCGATTTTTGACCAACTTATTATATGTCAGCAATATAATATGTGAGATATATCTTAATAGTAAAGAAACTTGACTAAAGATGTCATCAATGTTGTTCCATGCTATGCTAACCCATTTTTTATCTTATCAATAAATAATTTCCGCTTCCCGACACCATTATTAGCTCATCATTATATCAAGATTATAACCGAACCTTAAAAAACCGCAATAATTATTTTGCATGCACATCTTTATTTATAAAAGCTTAGTAGTAAGCGACTCCGGAGTTGTCGCGGATCCATTCCAGCTGGCTGGTGACGCGGGTGAATCCGGAGGGCAGACCAGCGGTGCATCCGTTGCCGGCGACCCAGGAAGTGACTCCCACCAGCTTGCCGCCGTCGTGGAGAACCAGAGGGCCACCGGAGTCGCCGGAGCAGGTGGACTTGCCACCGGTGGTGGACACACAGAGGATGCCTTCGGGAAGTGCGCCATATACGGTGGAGCACTCAGCATTGCTGATGATCTGCAGGTCGACGCACTCCATCCAATCTGGCTGGGATCCGGCAGTGGTCATGCCCCAGCCGCAGGCGACGGCCCACCAGTCGGCGTACATGTTGTAGCGATCGTTGAAGCTCGGGAGCTCCACCTTGTCGACCATGTTATAGAAATCCACGTGGGGCATGCGAACCAATGAGATGTCGTTGCCATTTTCGTGCGGCCACTTGGGGTTCTGGATGATCTCGCTGTTGCTGACGATCTGGGTGAACTGGGCGTTGAAGTGCCAGGTGGCTCCGTAGAAGATCTTCACCTGCTCGGTGTTGTCGGTGCAGTGGGCGGCAGTCAGAATCCAGTCGTGGGCGATGATGGAGCCACCGCACCACCAGCCGCCGCCTGGATTGTTGAATTCCAGACCCACGGTGTAGGGAGCCTTGCCTTCGGTGGCCGGATATCCGTTCACAATGCGGCCATTGATCTTGGAGTCCTTGGGCAGATCCTTGGGGTGGACCTGCTTAACAGTCTCGGCGGAGACGGCGGCCAGAGCCAAAGCCAGTACAACGAACACCTTCATGGTAGTGGGGTTACTTAGTTTCCTTCCTTGGTTTCCATTCGCTTTTATTATGAGTCCTTATCTCTCTGTGGTATCCTATCTCAAGGAGTTCATCGCAATGCCCCGCGCTGATAGCATGCAAATTTACTGATAACGCCACGGAAAACATGTTAATTTTGTTGGACATATTCAAATGCCACTTAAAGGCATGTTTATAAGTATCTGATAAGTTATTCAAATTCACTTTACTGCTTTATTTGTATATTTCATTTGAATTGGTTTTTTTTTTGAGTACCAGTTTAGTTATATCATTATCTATAATAATCAATCAAATAATCATTTTTGAAGTCTATCATACTTTTAAAATATTTACAAAAACTTGTTAGACTTCTGGTCACAAAAATGAAAAACAAAAGAAGCTGTTTTCAATGAATTTACATTGTACAAAAAAAGGTCACTTATATTCACGTTCTTATTCATATACTTATTTATTAATACATCACAGTTTTTTAAAGAATTTAACTAATGTAAGTAAGAAAATTCTAAAAAAAAAGGTGACTGCCTTCGAAGGACCATTAAAAAATGTATTCAAATTACGCGCCCAATACCATACATTTTAGTATTTAAATACATATAATCGAATCAACGCCTCCTCAAATCGAAGAAGAAGACGTACCGATAGGTTTGGACAAATGGAAGAAAGAGAAGGAATGAAAACAAACACAATTTTTGCTCTGTTTTTCCGCCAAATCTCAAAATCTCGTCAATTGTTGTCGCAGCATGTCCACTTGCAGTTCGTCGGAAATAGCGGAGAAGAAACGCATTGCGCTGGCCAAGCTGCAGGCCAAGAAGTCCCAGTTGCTGGCCAGTGCCTCCGGCGGAAAGTCCACCGCGACTGCAACAAGTGGAAATGCGAATCCCAATCAACCGCAGGCCAAATCCCCATTGAATTTCTACCGATCGCCGCCTGCAGCGCAGGAGAAGATCAGCAGACCCACGGCCACGTCCACGTCCAGTGACAATAAGAGCTCCTCTTTCCTGAACGCTCTGAAGGCAATCAAGCAGACCGCCGGCCGGGAATTGTCCCGAGCAGCCGCACATCCCTACCAGCGGCCAAATGGAGAGAATGGACGCAGCAAGCCCACTCTTTCACTTGCTCCTGAGAAGGAGAAACCAGTGGCTATGGCACTCGGTAACTCCATCACCTGCAATCTCTACATGGTCAGCCCGCATCGGTTTGCCGCCCAAACTTCGGGATATCACGAAAAGCTCATAGCCGTGTTTAAGATGATGCCCACCAGGTCCTACGATAGTCAAACGCGAATCTGGAGTTTCGACCTTTCGGATTACCAATCTCTTCAAACCCATACAGGGGATCTCAAGCCAAATGTCCACCTGGTTGGCATTCCAAAGAAGGTGCTCGATCTCTGCCGGCAGCCGCCAATTGTTTCGGAAAGCAGTGTTTTAGCTTCCATAGAACCCAGGCTGGCCGATAAGCTGATGCCCTTCCAACAGGATGGCGTGTGGTGGGTTTTAAATGGTATAAGCTTCTATCCCTGTACTAACTATATTCCTTTTAACTAGCTTCTCCATTGCCCAAAAGGGCCGCATTATGATCTGTGATGAAATGGGCCTGGGCAAAACCTATCAGGCCTTGGCTGTGGCCGACTATTTCAAGGACGATTGGCCCTTGCTCATCTGCACCACCGCCTCTACAAGAGACAGTTGGGCCAAACACATCGTGGAACTGCTGCCCAAGGTGCCCATCCACTATATCCAGGTGCTGAACAACAATCAACAGTATGTGGGCGAGGCCCAGGTGCTCATCACCAGCTACAACATGATGGAGCGGCACGAGGACAAGCTGCTGCAGCGCAAGTACGGCTTCATCATCTTCGACGAGTCGCACACGCTGAAGAACAGCAAGGCCAAGTGCACGACAACGGCCAAGAGGCTCACGGATCAAGCCAAGCGGGTGGTTTTGTTATCCGGAACTCCAGCTCTGTCCCGACCTCTGGAACTCTTCACCCAACTCCAGTTGGTGGATGGCAAATTCATGAGCTTCATGGAGTTTAGTATGTAAAAGTTACTTTCTTATATTTTTTGTTTTTAAAAGTTATTATTATTTTAGCTACTCGTTACTGTGATGGCAAACAGTCCACTTTTGGCTGGGATGCCAGCGGGCAATCGAATCTGGAGGAGCTCAAGGTTATGCTTACACTTAAATACATGCTGAGGCGTACGAAAACGGAGGTGCTGCCTCAACTCGCTGAAAAGAATCGGTGGGTTGTTCATATTAGAGCCCTGCATGAATGGATTCAATGATTTCAATGCATAGTATGATAAAACAAAAATTGAATGATTCACGCAGGGCTCTAGTTCATATCCCAATATAAGCTTCTGTAATTATTATATCTTTTTTCACAGTGAAACTGTGGTCTTGGATCCCGCCTTAGTCTGGACCAACGATGAGACCAAGGATACCTGTGAGGCGCTTAACAAAGAGCTGAAAACATGCAAAGGCAGGGCCATGGAGGAGATTTTACTTCGTTTCTATGCACGCACTGCAGAAGTTAAAACCCGAGCCGTATGGTAACTTAAATTTCCAATGAAAAAAGAACACATAATAATTGGTTATCCACCTTTATAGCGCCTATCTGAAAACCTTGGTTAAGGAGCAGAAAAAGTTCATTATTTTTGCCCATCATCGGGTCATGATGGATGCCATCAGCGATTGCCTTGGTGGATTGAAAGTACACTACATTCGCATCGATGGACAGACGCGTAGTGATCTCAGGGCGGATTTTGTAGACACATTCCAGAAGAAGAGCAGCTGTAAGGTGGCGGTGCTCTCTCTTAAAGCCTGCAACTCAGGGATTACTCTAACTGCAGCGGAGATAATTGTGTTTGCTGAGCTGGACTGGAATCCTAGCGTGGGTTTTGGACATATTATAAACCTTGAAATGATGTAATTTTTGCATATCTTTAGACCTTGGCTCAGGCGGAGAGTCGTGCCCATCGCATTGGCCAAACGAAACCGGTGATTTGTCGTTATTTAATGGCCCATAATACGGCAGACGATACCATCTGGAATATGCTGAAAAACAAGCAGGAGGTGCTCAGTAAAGTAGGCATCTTTGCCGAGAATCTACAAAAGGCGACACACACAGCGGCACCCACTTCGGTATGATTGAATTTTTTTAAAAAGTAAAATTGTAGCTAACCTTGCTTTCTTAAAGTCCCATAAAATCGAGGAATTCTTCTCGCCCGCTAAATCTGCGTCCTCTTCTACGGAAAGGGGTAGCATAAGACAGTACTTTTCACCTGCTCCAGCCAAAGCACCTAGTGAACAGAATAACAATACCGAAAAAGCCAAAGAACAGAATGCGCAGACCGATATGGCGGCCTTTTTCAACGATGATGATGATGAGGCTTTTCTGGATTTAGATATTTAGTTTAAGCTATTACCTTTTGCATTGTTTAATCAGTTTAATGAAATAAATTGTAGTTGAGAATATTGAAGACATTGTATTAAAGAAATAAGTAGATAAGTGCGCATGATCCACGCCTCAACAAATCTTCCCAGGCAGCCGGTGTTTCGTGCCCTGGCAACAGGCAAACAAACACTCCAGCAAACCTTTTCACTTGTATCAAAAATATATAAATACACAAATAAGCTAAAGTTTTGTAAACTGTAAGTTAGATATAATGGACGCCTCGCAGCCGACATCTGATCTTCTGGGCGAAGAGGAGGAGCTGGAAGCTGAGCATGATGTATCCTTTCCCCGCGATATATTCACCGTGGAGTAAGTATTCCCTTTACAAACAAATTATATATTATATTGATAACTTCCTGTTTCAGACACTCCTTCGGCTACGATTGCAAGAAGCTCTTTAATTTAGTGCTGGTGGATCCGGATACACTGGTCTTTGCCTCTGGCAACTTTCTCAACTATTTTAGCATTTCGCGCCAGGAGATTTCCTTCCAGGAAACGGTCTTCGGCTGTGGAGTGGGGTTTATCACGGTGAGATTTTTAACCAGTAAACGCAGAGTTTTATTAAACCCGTTACTCGTAGAGTAAAAGGGTCCGACCCCATAAAGTATATATGTTCTTGATCAGGGTCACTAGCCGAGTCGATCTAGCCATGTCTGTCTGTCTGTCCGTCTGTATGAACGCTGAGATCTCGGAAACTACAAAAGCTAGAAGGTTGAGAATTCCCACACATATTCTTTGGCTTCCTACGCAGCGAAAGTTTATTTCAGCCGAGCGCCACGCCCCCTCTTACTCCCACAATTTTGTTGTGTATATTTATACCTATCTATATGCAAAAGACGTTTTTCAAATCGGACCATTCATTAAAAAGTTATGCGCAATCAAAAATGTTATATATTTTTATATTTACGGTCTTTCAGAAAAACGAACATCCGGACTACACGGGCCTCTTTACGGTGGGCGAGAACGGGCCAACTCCCACGGTCTTCATCTACGAGTATCCCTCGTGCGAGGTGCGCGTGAAGCTGCTGAATGCAGCCAAGGCCTGTTTCACGGCGGGATCTTACAACAAGAGCGGCGAGCTGTTCGCCTCGCAGGCCGGCTATCCGGACTTTATCATCACCATCTGGCGCTGGGAGAAGGCAGAGGTGGTGCTGCGCGCCAAGTCCTTCCAGAGCGACATCCTGTTCGTGCACTTCTCCGAGCACAACCCCATCCTGCTCTGTTCCTCGGGTCTGAGTCACATCAAGTTCTGGAAGATGGCCAACACGTTTACGGGCCTCAAGTTGAAGGGCGATTTGGGTCGCTTCGGCAAGACGGACTTCAGTGATATCTATGCCATGTACATGCTGCCCGATGAGAATGTGATCTCCGGCAGCGATTGGGGCAACATGCTGCTCTGGCAGGCGGGACTCATTAAGTTTGAGGTCTGCCGGAAGGGTCGAAAGCCCTGCCATACGAAACCCATCACGAGGATCACCATGAAGAACGGTGAGGTGACCACTGTGGGCATGGATGGCTATGTGCGCGTCTGGTACTGGGAAACGGTGGACTTGGCCGATCCGCCCGAGGATGATTTGTTCGTGGAGATCGACCCGATCTACGAGTTCAAAATAGCCGACGTGGAGCTGCGCTGCATGCAGAAGATCCTGCCCTTCGACGAATCGGACTTTACGCACTACGCACAGGATGGAAACGGTGGGATTTGGTTCTGCGACATCAACACCTACGATGTTCCACAGAAGCCGCGGAAGCTGTACTCCTGCATTGGCGGCAAGGTGCTCACCTCGCAGATGTCCCCGGTGTCGCCGCATTTCCTCTGCATGTCGGAGAGCGGCAAGCTCTTTGTTTACCAGTACGAGGATCAGCGCCTCATCCTGGAGAAGCAGTTCCCGGCGGAGGGGGTGGATGTGCTCTGGCTGGATACCCAGATCTCGCTGAAAGGCACCGAAATAGTGGCTGTGTTCAAGGACGGAATCCTGCGGCAGATGTACCTGGACCTCAGCAATCCGGAGAAACCAACGATGGTTCGGGTGAGAGCCTTCAAGGCGCACACGTCGCCCATCACCAGATTGACCGTGAATCGGCAGAGCACACTGCTCCTCACCGGCAGCGCCGACATGAGCATATTCATCTACAAGCTGAGCCGGGATCAGCATCAGTTGGTGGACCTGCATCCCCTGGGATTCGTGCAGTTTGCCGGGATCCCCAACTGCTTCTATTGGCACGACACTGAACCCACTGTGGTCCTCGTCGGATGCAAGGCTGGCGAACTGTACGAGTACAATATCCGCACCGAGGTCACCGAGGAGGAAACCTACCTGTCGTACAACATCACCGAGAAGTCGCGCATGCGCAGCACAAGATTCGCTTCGATCAAGAGCCGCATTCGTCGGGAAATCCACAGGGAGAACACGAAGAAGCGCAAGGAGAAGAAGCGGGAGCGCAAGATGAACGAGGTGGAGAAGCTGAAGAAGGCCAATCCCGGCCTGCAGATTGACATGGAGTCGGCGCTGGCTGACTCCGAACCGGATGAGGAGGAGGAGGCACTTCACATACCGCCCGTGCCCAATCCAATTATCTGGCTGCGCTACACGGAGCGGGATACCATCTGGGTGTCCATGGCGGGCTACGATGCGGGCTACATCTACGAGCTGGAGTTCGATGCACCGGAACCCACCCGGGCCACCATCATAGCGGAGGGGGATGACATCGAGATACACTCCTACTGCATTATGTGAGTTGATGGAACTATATTTTTATACTCTGAGATCTCGGAAACTACAAAAGCTAAAAGGTTGAGATTTCCCACACATATTCTTGGGCTTCCTACGCAGCGCAAGTTTATTTCAGCCGAGCCCCACGCCCCCTCTAACGCCCACAATCGACAACTAATGATTTTAAGAGATTTCCTAGAATTATAAATGCAATTTTGTTGTGTTTATTTATACCTATCGAAATGTAGAAGACATTTTTCAAATCGGGCCATTAATTAAAAAGTTATGTGCAATCAAAATTGTATATATCCATCACCCTCGCACTCCCTTTAGCTGAGTGACGGGTATTAGATAGCTATTATCTCTATATCTTCCCACTACATCCTCTTCCCCAGTGACGAGTTCATCATCTTTGGCCTCGTCAACGGACGCCTGCGCATCAATTGCATCAATCCGGACAACTTTACGGACCTCTCCGAGTACCGCATCTATCCGATGCACGACTCCCTGAAGGGTGTTATACCCAAAATCGAGACCAGCTACAATGGAGAGCATATCCTCACAGTTGGCTACGATGGCAATATGTTTCTGCACAACTGGAAAGGTCCGAAGATTGTTAGGAACAAGCGGTGGGATAAACTGCCGCCTCTTCCGGAGGGAGTTACCCGGATTCCGGACATCGAAGACGAGGCACCTTCGCTGGAGCAGGAGAAGATCAATGCGGAGCTGCGACGCCAGCAGGAGGCAGCCGAGGCGCATGATCGCGATGTCCTGGACAAGATCGGCTTGCTGCAGAACGTGTACTTTGACATTATCAAGCACAATGAGGAGCTGCCTCCGGGTCTGCGGGCCAAGGACACGGATTTGCTGCTGGACCCACGGATTACGCGACAGATCAGGGACGAGCTGCAAGCCGAGTTGGATGATGTTCGAGAGGATCTGGCCTACGACCTGGAATTCGCCCAGGTGGGGCACTCGAAGCTGTACAATCATTTCCTCAAGGAGCTGGTCCAAATCCCCGTTACCGTCAGTCCTTTGCGGTAAGTTATTAGAGGATTAATATGTATATATTAATTAATACTCAAGTCAGTACGTGTTGATAATTATAGATAATTTATAGCTGACAATATTTCTTAAAAATACTACATAGTTGTTTACAAAGAACTTAACTTAACTTAGCTTTAATTGTTTTAGTTATTTATTTTTAGAAATTCTTTAAATTTAATTTTAAACTTATTAGGACTTCTTATTGATTTTTCAGTGCCAAAGTACCAGGTGTGTCCACTTTTCGGCTGCAGGCTTTGGGTGAAGAGCATGAGCAGATTAAGCGGGACATAGAAGAGCGACTGAAGCGGGAGCACGACATGGGGTAAGTGGGGCATTTCAGGGATAACAACTTGATACTACGAAACATACTACTCTTGAATCCACGACAAGCAGCCTTTACAGAGAGGATCGGGTTCCAGAACAGCCGCCAGTGTAAGCATTATATTTCTCTTAACTTTGGAGCAACTGCACCCCTATTCTTAGATTTTTCACTAGAACACCCTTTAATTATTATTATTATTATTATTTATTTACCTTCTTAGCGCTAAAGTTATCAGTTTAACTTAAAAATAAAACACTAGTCACAAAACCAAGTTTACAATCTTACAGAAAGTTTTACAAAATTACTTAAAAATATTTGTAAGTTTTGATTATTTTATAGGTAATGGTTATCAATAGTACAATTTGAATTCTTATCTATAGTTAGTTCTTGGATTTATAATTAGTTGTGTGTGGTTTTGGGTTAGTTATTTTTTAACATTAATAATAATTCTTTCCGAAACTGTCTAGCACTTCTTGTATTGTATTAACAGCCCATTATTTATTACTAAAATAAAATGCTTCCCCCACAGACTCCATGACCTTGTGGTGGCCGAGAGATCGGACGAAACCATTGGAGAGCCGCCGCCGGAGGCCTTCTTCTTCGGCAGAGATCCCAAGAGCATTGAACCGCGCTTCAGCAGGAAGATGATGCGCCTCCTGGTTCGCTACCGGAAGCGCCAGCTCTTCGAGGTGCGACGCATCTTCGACTGGGACAAGCTGGAGCGCCAGAAGCCGGACCCGAATCGCAACCATCCGGACGACGATGCCCAGATCGAGGATGCCAAGCGCAATCTGGGCGACTTCAAGCTGAAGATCGGCGCAGACTACGAGCCCAAATCCACGGAGACGCTGACCCAGAAGTACATAGAGGTCGTGGAGTGCCGCGAACAGTACTTTGCGATGGTGGACGCCTTCAATCAGCTGGTGCTGGAGCTGCGCGACCGAAAGGGCGACCTGGAGAAGTTCATCAACGCCAAGAGGGAGCGTCTGGAGGTGATCCACAGCTACCTGCCCGAATCGGATCGGAAGCCCCTGGCGGCGATGCAGGAAACGGACATGGATCTCGAGTACCCAGACCTCAATCTCATCGAGCACTTTACGCCTGGCTGTGGTGTGGAGATCGACGACATCCTCACCCTGGATCACACTGTGGATGAGGTGGGCAATCTGTTTACTATGACTCAGGGTTCGGAACATAACACACTCTGTAAAAAACTTGTGTTATTAACACGTTAAATGTCAAATTTAAGTTCAAAAAAGTTATTGACATGTGTGTAAAAAATTGTAGCTTACATATGTTAGAAACATAAATAACACACACAGTTTATTTGTGTTATTTACACGACGTGTTATTAACACAACGTGTTTTAAACACAATGAGTTTTTGACATTAAAACGTCAAAAATATATGTTGAACTGAAAAATTCACCTTTTTCTGTAGTTGAAAAAAATCATATATGCTTTAAAACGGTTAAAAATAACAATTAAGATATTCTGGCCCAATATTGAATTTTCATTTTCCCTTCGATTTGTTAATGTCCATAAAATGTCATTTTCATTAGTGTTAAAAACACAGTGTGTAAAAAACACGTCGTGTTAATAACACATTGTGTAAAAAACACCTATTTTTCACATTTTAACACTTATGTCAAAAACTTTGCTCACACTGTAAAATACAATTTTACAGGTTTTTAAAATGTATGTTAAATTCCGAACCCTGCTATGTCTTCCGATTCTAATTAATATTCCCCAGGTGATCGCTATGAAATCGCCGCTGAGCTCGACGCACAGTGCGAGCCTGCTCAGCATGCACGGATTGGATGTGCCCGAGCTGCACGAGAATGCCGCCTTCACGATGCTCCAGATCAGCAGGCTAGAACGAAGCCTTCCCAATGCGGAGCTGGCCGAGGAGCTGCTGAAGCTGCCGCCCATCAGTGACCCGGCTTACTTCGAAACGAATGAGGATGGGGACGCTCCCTACAAGATGGAGACACGCCACCGGTGGCTTCGCCAGCTCCTCGTGGAGCAGGATGAGATCCACACTGAGGTGGACGAGGAAGTCTCCCAGTTTGACAAGGCTCTGGCCAAGCTGCAGGTGCGCCGGTTCCACGTCAAACTGGACGCCGAGTTCATGAACGCCTACATGAACAGCCAGAACCAGGAGCTGTACATCCTGCGCGACAGCGAGGAGATCGAAACGCAGCTGCTCCTGAACGCCAAGACGGCGATGAGCACGCGGAATGACCTGCAGGTGGTCATCAATACCACCAACAGGCAGCTGGACGAGCTGAGGCGGAACATCGACAAGCTGGGCGAGCAGATAATAGCCGTCCAGGTGCTCTTCTCGACCACCGTCAAGGGTCACAAGTTCTTCGACTTCCTGCGGCGCATCTTCAAGAAGAAGTGGCGCCCGCCGAAGGTGGCCAAGGGCGACGACGAGTCGTCCTCGTCCTCCTCCTCGTCTTCCTCCTCCAGCGAGGACCAGCAGGCGGACAGCAAGAGCGTTGACTCATTGGACATGACCACCATCCGATTGGACGAGGCCACCTGTCCCACGGGTCTGGATAGATCGCTTTACGACCTGGCTTTCGCCATGCGGGCCGAACGCCACGAACTGGAGCGGAATGTGCGGGATCTGCAGCGGGAGGTGGAGAACAAGCGCAAGGAGATCGCCGAGATGCAGATCAAGATGAAGTTCCACGAGGAAGTGTACCAGCGGGAGAAGAACGCCCTGCTGGAGTTTCGGGTTGGTGGTTCTAGTCGGAGATTGATCCTCACTTATGTATTTTCTCCTCCAGCGCAATCGCCAGCAGGAGGTCAACAAGGTTCACATCAGCGCCATCCTGCGCATGGACCAACTGCAGCATTTCTATGAAGGCGACGACTACCGCGACCTGTCCAAGGCCATTCTCTTCGACGCCGATATGCTGGTGGAGCTGCGACGCCGGGCGGATGCTTTAAGTGAGGAGACGCTGGCCACCAAGCGCTGGCATCGCATCAACTTTATCCACCTGAGGCGCATGAACACGGACATCAAGTTCATGAGATTCGAGATAACGCGGTTGGAGGAGGAGATTCGTCAGGCCATGATGAAGAAATTCGGCATCATTGTCAATCTGGATGAGTTGGAGGAGGAGGTCCTGCGACGCTACATTTTTGAGTTGGAAACTAATGCTGAGGATGAGCTAATGGCGCTCGAAAAGGAGCTGTTGGAGAAGCAGGTAAAAAAAAAAAACGTAGTAAATCCAAAGATTTCATATTCAATCCAAATATTTTTAGCAACTTAAAATAGAATATTTTCCATATGCTAATTTTATTTATTATAATTTAATTTTAATCTTTTTTTTTAATGTTTTGAATAGGTAAAATTAATATGAAACATTTTTTAATTTCAATACTGTTTTTCTTAATTCTAAAAATATTAACGATAAATCTAATACTTTTTCAAATAAATAAATCCTTGGATTTAAATATCTTAATATTAAACTAAGCATTTTAACATGTTTCGTATTTAATACAATGTTTTTTGTATTAAATTTAAATACCAAATATGAGATTTTGGATTCAATATGCGGATATTGAAATTTAAATTACTTAGTAGTGAAATATATTTTCAAAATCTTGTGTTTTAGAAAGAACTCTCTCGCTGTGAGGAGGAACTGGTTCTGGAGACCCAGAACAATACCGAAAAGGTCAACATAATGACCGTGCTGCGGGAAGAGAACAACATCCTTCGCACTCTGCTGGACATTCAGAACCGCAACTATGCCAAGTGGGCCAATCCGAATGCCCTGAATCTGTCCTACGACATTGAGAAGCTGAGGGGCATAGAGAAATCCCTGAAGGAGCAGATCGAGGTGGGTACTTGTTCGATTGTGTCCTTGTATATCCTCAAATTTTTACCATTAAACAGTGCCTGGAGCGGGAGATCTGTGCCCTGCGGCTCAAGTCGAAGCCTCTGCAGATCAACTATGAGTTCGAGATAGATCCCAATGCACCGCCGCAGGTGACCAGCGAGATTCTGCCCAACGACGATGTGATGGTGTGTCCGGCGATCCTCAATGTGGATGCCTACATGCTGCCACCCATGCCCGATGAGTTCATCATGGATCGCGTGCAGACGATCGTTCAGAAGAGCTTCAATCGGTTCTTTGGGAAGAGCACAACTCCGGAGAATGTGCGCAAATTTGCCCTGCGGTCGTCCCTCTATTTATGCCAAGCTGCCTACAGTTTCCAGGTGATTAAAATATTTAAAAAAAAAATTACTTTTACCAACGATCATCTTAAAGGGTCGCTACACGGATCGCATTGCAGAGTGCATCACGGAGCACCTGCAGACGATTGTGCCCAAGAAGTACTTCATCCACATCAGCGGCGAGGAGCTGCGCAAGCTCTTCAACGAGGTGGTGGCCGTATTTGACTACGAACGCTCCGATGTGAACACCGAGGAGCTGATATCCGGCATTTTCGACCACGCCAAGGATTCGCTTTGTGCCCACATCCACCTGGGCGATGCCGATGTTGTTAACCGCACCCACTTCATTGTAGCGCACATGTTCAAGGAGCTGGTCGAGGTGCTGCCCCTGGAGGAGTTCCAATCCGACGAGACCCTTCGCATGATCGTGGACGTGCTGGAGCGTGAACCGATGGTGGATCCGCGAGCCATCGGCGTGGAGCAGCTCATCGTGAGCACGCTGCAGCACGCCCAGGAGAATTTATTGGACGGAATTACGGCGGTTCCGGTTCGCAAGTTGGGCAGCTCCATTCAGCGGGACCTGATCAAGCGGCGCCAGTACAAGCAGCCCAGCTGCGAGTCGCCCATGTCGGTGCGGATCGCCACGAAAAAGCCAGGACAGAGCACTGGGCTGCCCTTCTAGACCAGTAGGTTTTTAAAGGACTGTACTCGGAAAATTAAAATACATGTTTATAAAATTTAACTAGTTTTACGTACTTAATTAGCGGTTGTCCGTTCAGATTTTTCAAAAATAACGGACAAACTCTTTCTTATGACCATGTATTTATACATATCTCTGGTAAGTAGTTAGGTTTCTTTTAAATTTTATATTTTAATTAATGTACCGCTATCTGGATATTTTGATTTGACTGTTCGAAAAGGTGACCCAAATCTGTACTCTATCAGTCTTGTATGCATTTTGAAATTGTATTTTGAAGAGGCTTAATTCGGTTTTAAATTGGGCATCGAATTATAAATAGATTTATGGTTATTTTCCCAAAAAATAAAATAAATTTTTAAGTGCTTTACCCAAAAGATTTTTTTTCAAAATGCACTCCTAAAAAGCCAGATCTGACGGGAAAACAAAGTGTCATCTCTGATTTTAAGCAGAGGACAACCCTGTTTCTGAATCAGAGAAAAGAAACTGCAAGTAAACAAAGTGCGACGACATAAAATTATAAACAGTATAAACATGTCAGCATCAAAATCGGGTCCACCAAGTGAGGGAAGTGCTCCTGCCTACGATTATCGCAATGCCGGCGATGCCATGGCCATGGTAAGAGTTAATTTAAGGATTAATAAAAAAACAGCCAATTAAATCGACCGATTTGCAGCGAGCACCTCCGCCGACCTACGAAGAAAGTCAGCGGAATGGAGGCACAGGTGCTGGGGCCTATGGATATCCACAGGGAGCAGCTGCTCCGCCCAGCCAGAATCAGTACTACGGCATGATTAGCCACCACCAACAGCAGATGCCCGGCTACGGGATGCACCACGCCAATGGCTACGGACTCGCAGGACCCAGCACTTCGGCAGGCGCCGCTGCCGCACAGGTCCTCCACCTGGACTCACGCGCCGAGGTGAGGACAAATGCTACTGGGAACGTGGTCATACCACCTCCGCCGCCCGGTTGCCTGCCCACTCCGGCCCAATGGGCTGCCATGCAGGGCCAACCGGTGGTGCTCAAGCAAAAGAAGCGTTCCTTTTTCTAGATTACACCCGGCAGACACCATTTACTCGAATATAATCATGTTGGCCCACTTGAATGTTACATAAATAAACGATGCGATCCGTTTCGTTTCGTCCTCGCGTATATTTGAAAGTTCCCTAAGCAAACGAACATGGCGCCGGTGAAGATCCACCGGCTTCGATCCTCCTACTGACTACTGGGTGCGCGGACTACTCGAAGATGTTCTCAAAGTATGTACTATCGAATGTCTGGACACGCACGAAACCATCTTCTCCGCCCGAGGCGTAACTCTTGCCGTCCGGATGGAAGGCCAAACTGTTGATGGGCCCGAAATGGCCCTTGAGTCGGGCGAACTCCTCCTCGTAGATCAGGTGGAAGAAGCGCGAGTCGAACTTGCCGGCCTTCGTCGATGTGGTGGTCACCTCCATGGCATCCTGACCGCCGCCCAGCACCACGTGATCCAGAATGGGACTGATGGCAGCCGAGTTCACAGGTCGCTCCGTCTTGTAGGCCTTCAGGCACATCAGGGACTCGGAGTCGAAGAGCTTGGCGGTGGTGTCCTTGGAGGCGGTGACGAACATGGTGCCGTCCTTGCTCAGCTGCATGTCGTTGATGCCGCCAGTGTGATCTGATCCAGAGTCCACGACCTTCTGGCCCTTGCGGATGTCCCAGATGGCAATGTTGCCGTTATCGTGACCTAAAAGTAATGATTATAAGTACATTTCATAGTGAATTGGTAAGGGAACAGTGAACCTGTGATGATGGTCTCATCCAGGGGACCCCACAGCATCGAGGTGATCTTGGACTCGGTCATGGGGATGCGGAGCGTGGGCTCCTGCTCCGACAGCGAGGAGTCGGCGTTGCGCACATCGATGAGGAACAGCTCGCAGCTCTGTCCCATCGCTTTGTCCGTGGAATAGGCGGCCTGGTTGCCCGAGAAGCTGAAGTGGCTGGTGCGCACCGACGACTTGGTCGGAATGGAGGCGATAATGGTGCCGTATTCGACGTCCCAGATCTTGGTGGTCATGTCACCGGCGCCGGTGATCAGCTTGCGGCTCTCCCAGTCGACGTCCAGGCACCAAACGGCTCCCTGGTGACCATCGTAGGTGCCCAAACGTTCGCCGTTCAGCGAGTACCAAACATTGGGCTTCTGATCCTTGGAGCAGGAGAACAGCAGGTCGCCCTCGCGGTTGTACTTGATCTGCGTTATGGAACGCTCGTGGCCCTGGAGCATCAGAGGACGCTGCAAGGGAGGAAATAAATTAGCAACGATTTTAGCAACAATTTAGACCGCTTTTAAGGTTATGTTTGGCCCGGAGTTCCCACACGACTTTTGCACTCTGTAAATCTTTGGGATTCCCGAGGAAGTCCACAGGAACTCCTGCAGATCGAAGGGAGCTGTGTACGCACGCACCATTTTGTATTATATTGTTAATTGCTGCGAGAAAACTAATATTTTTGCAACAACATCCACGCAGCACTACACGCCAAAAGAGCAAGATTAGTAGGCGGCTTTGTGAAACTGGTATATTTGGCACACACGCAAAGGGTCACACTACGCAATCTGAAAAAGATGAATACCGTTATTATTATTTAAATGAAAATGTGAAGATATGAATAATAAACCATACAAAATTAAAATAAACTATAGCAGGAGTTTGATTAAATTTCATAAATATTTACTAAAATACATATTTAAAAAAATGTTAAATTCATAAATTCTTAAAAATGCATGAACTTTGACAAACGATCCTAACTTTTTCTTGTTTAATTATAATAAAATTCTTATTTAACCTCTGCTGAGATTAGCTTTGATTATTGGAAAGAACTATAACTAAATAAGTGGGGAACACCCGACCTAAGAAGGTATTTTTAGTATTTTTGTGGTATATTCCCCTGCTGGTATTTTTCGTGGTACCGTACTGCCAATCATCTGTTTACCGGAATCGGCTTTGTGATTCATATATTTTTGGGAAGAAAAGTGCTTGGAAAGGAGCGAAACCATGGCCAAAAACACGTCCAGCAATGCGTTCCGCAAGATCGATGTGGACCAGTACAACGAGGACAACTTCCGGGAGGATGACGGCGTGGAGAGCGCGTCGGCGGGGCCGGATGAGACCGAGATTACGACTCTGCTGACGCAGGGAAAATCCGTGGAGGCGCTCCTCAGTGCCCTGCAGAATGCTCCACTGCGCTGCAAGAACCAGAACGTGAAGGTGGGTGCCACCTCCTAGTTAGATCCACCGCCTATTCCTACTAATCCCTGCGGGAATTCACAGGACCACGCCCTGAACATCACGCTGCGAGTGCTGCTGTCCATCAAGTCGACGCAAATGGACCAGGCCATCGATTCCGTCGACCAGAACGACCTGATCGACGTGCTGATGAAGTACATATACCGGGGCTTCGAGATCCCCTCGGAGGGCTCCAGTGGCCACCTGCTGCAGTGGCACGAGAAGGCCTTCGCCAAGGGCGGCGTGGGCTGCATTGTCCGGGTTTTGTCCGACACAAATCGCGCCTAGAGGAGATCACCATAGCCAAAGGCGTTCATTAGGTCACCATCTTAACCTTGTCCCTGCCCCCAAAAACCGATTTACACGCATCGCGGAGCATTTAATCAACGCAGGAATGGAGCACTGGACACCACATCCTGATCATCGTCTACGGGATTTGCCACGCCCCAGCTGAAACCCTCTTCTGTTTCTTTGCCGCAATACAAATGACGTTTTCCAAATTAGATTTATAACTGGTATCCAAGTATTAAAGTTTTTATTACGAAAGGTGAGTGGCTGTCATTTGATTAGGAGTTTTTGGGAACTGGGATTCAAATTGCATGCGTTTTATTTAGGAAACCTAAGAAGTTAAAGGCTTATCTTATCAAATTCCAAGCTATATCACTCTACATGTGCGACGTTATGCTTTTTTTAGCTGGTATAGTTAATAATTCTCCGATTTAGTAACCAAAAAAAACAACCACCTTATTTGAATCAACCTTTTCTGCTTTATTTGACTATTCAATGTGTAATAAGTGCTTTGGGTAACCTAATCGAATCAATCACGGCATCTACAACTTTTTATAAATTTAAAAAGCGGCGAGGCTCAATGATAGACAAATGCCAGGCGATTTGAAATGCAGGAGTAGGCTAAAATGAAAGGCCCAAAGAGTATAGGCTTGCATGCAATTTGATGATATTTCTCGGTGCTCGGAAGGGGGAAACATTTAACAAAGAAGGGGTTCGCTCTCTTCAAAACGCGTCTTCAATAAATAGTTCTTTATGCTGCTTATATGTGGGGATTATTAAGTCGAAACGGGTTGCTCTACCACATGTGGGTCTCGCGGATTTCGCTGATGATGTGATTCGCCCGCGTCAGTGCCTAAAAAAAGGGAATTTCTATAAGTAACTTTCCATAGCTGACTATTAATTAGTAGAGCCGCACCTTCAGCATATCTGCCGCCTCTTTTCGGCGCACTGCAATGTGATCCGACTCGTTCAGCAGTGTTTCAGCTCTATCCGACTTATACAAATGGGTAACCAGTTCGCTCTGCAAGTTGTCCTTAACGTAGTTAACCAAGAAATGCATTATGGCCTTTGGTACCGAGTCTTGAATGGATTTGCGCACAATGTAGAAATACGATTTGATCAGGCGTTCTGGAAATACAAAATCCATTGAGTTATTTTATTAAGTTATATAAGAAATCAATAACCCACCGATGACATCGCAATCCTTCTGCTCCTTGTCAGTCAGGCGACGTGGATTGTGGTTGGCCGGCACATCGGGCAGCAGATTGACTGGCTTCACTGGGCTCACCATATTATTGTGAACCGGCGTATTGCTGGCCGAGTTTTCAATGCTATCCGGACGCGTTGGTGCCGGCGGTAAGATGTTCGACAGCCAAGTGCTGGCCATCGAGGGCGTCGAGTTCTCGCCGACGTGGTTCTACAACGAAAATGGGTTAAATAAAATGCATTTAGAAATATTAAGTATGCTGCCACCTGGTCATGTGCTTCACTATACTGCTGCTGCTGGTTATTCTGCTGCTGCTGTGGCTGCTGCGAGGCTGCACTGTGCGCCGAGACCTGTGGCGACATGTGGTTGCGAGGCGTGTTGGCCCGCCGCTGGCCCAGATTAATCTGTGAGTAGGGATCGCTGTCCGATTTCAGCAGACTGGGCACCAAAGCGGCATCCTTGTGGAAATCTGGATGCTTGGTGTTGATGTACGCCAGCTCGATGGCCACAATGTTCTCCACCATCACGTTGGTGTGCGGCAGTCGTCGACGCAGCAGCTGGGTGACCACATCCACAATCTTCTCGTGAAGTTTGGGGAAACTGTTAGAGGGAAAATGTGATAAGTACTTATATTTAATATTCTTTAGTTGACCTACCGCAACATCTCCTGCTGCACCTCGTTGCCGCAATGCTGAACAATGCGCTGCATCTCCTCGTGAATGAGTTCTACGCAGCGCAGCGAGGGTTCCTCCAGGCGGCGGATCTGCCGCTTCACGAGCAGCTCGAACGAGACCTCCGGCACGAAGAGAGCGGGACGCGGGCCCGTTGCATTCCGTATGGCCGTGAGTATATCCATTTTGCTCAGTCCCGCCAGCGGGTGAATAGAGTCCAGGGTGCGGCCGAAGGTCTCGTGGAAAATGTAGCAGATCCGGGCGCCGCCGCACAGCTCCGTGGTCTCGATATTCCGCGCAGTACCCTCGATGGTGGAGCAGTAGGCGCTGGCAAACTTCGTGATGATCTGCAGCAGCGTTTGGCTTTTGTCCGATACATCCTCGCCGTAGGAGTTCAGCAGCGATTGGAATTGCGTGGCCATGATGTTGACGCGAGTCTGTAAAAATAGTGGAAGTCATTTCTATTAAATCAATTTGAAATTGTACCCTTATCTGCTTTTAATCTTCTCTTGCTTTATCATAGAAAATATATAGATCGATTAAGGTAGGTTGCTCAATTGTGCTAAGATTGACAGGGAAATTTTAGGAATTTTTAAAATTTAGATACTAATTTTTCTACATTTTGAACAATATAAAATATTAAAAAAATAGTTTTATAGGGAATAATTTTTGTAATATTTTAAAATTTGATGTTTAAAGCGGAAATAGCTAGATACCTGTGAAATCTTTTAGAAAAAACACTACAAACTACTATATAATTTACAAAAACTGAAGTTTAATACTAAAGACTAGACTTTAAAACGGAAATAGCTAGATACTAAGAAAATCTTAAAAAAAAAAACACTATAAACTTCTATATACTTTACAAAAACTAAAGTTTAATACTTGAAATCCCAGACTCACCTTAAGATCCGGCAGGCAGTCGCGAATGTGATGCATCAGCAGCCGGTTGAGGGTCTTGGCCAGGTAGGGAGTGCCGTTCCTGGTGGCCAGAGTGGGATACTTTCGCTGCAAGAAGGCCGCCTCGTCCTTCATCTGCTCGTCAATGTGCTTCTGATCCATGATGTCCTTCTGCGAGCGATTCATCACACCGATAATGCCCAGCTTGACGGGAATGACCCGGCCGCAGAGGATATCGATGGCATCGGTGCCGGCGTCCATGAGATCCAGTTTGGTGACCACGGCCAGGGTGCGCCGGCCATCGGGATCCACGTCCTTGGCCAGCTTCAGCGCCTCACTGGTGGCCATGTCCGTGTTGGCCGCCGTCACAGCTAAAATAATGGAGTTGGGGTTCTCAATGTACTTGAGCACCAAGTCTTTGATCTGCGCCTCGATGTCCTCGGGCTGATCGCCCACGGGCACCTTGGTGATGCCGGGCAGATCCACCAGCGTCAGGTTGACCACATGCGTGGAGAATATCTTCAGGTTGATGGGCTCCGGACAGATGCCCTTGTTGCTGCCCGCCGCGCGCTCCGTTTCGTTCTCGATCTCCTTTCGGATCTCGTCGAAGTCCGTGAAGCACTTTTTGGTGTGCAGAAAGCGACCCCATTCTTCGGCATTGGAGGTTCCTAAAGGGAAGGTTTATTTTAGAAATGTTTCTTTGGGATTCCTTGATTTCAACTCACCATTTTCCGCCGAGCGATTCTCGCGATCGTCGAGGGGACTGTAAATCAGCTGGAGAATCAATGGGCGACGGGTCACAATCCCAGTTCCTCGAGGCAGAAAGGAGCGGCCTACGACGCTCTCGATCACCGAACTCTTGCCGGAGCTCTGGAAACAAAGGGTTGTGAGGAAAACCGCTTCAATTGGAGTTAAAATTGCGACTGATAAACGCCGATGACCTGATAAGGAGAGCCCCCAAAGCATTTGCAACAAGGAAACACTTGGAAACCCGCAGATTAGCTATTGTTATCTGGTAACAGTTGTAATTCTTTAAAACGAACTTTCTATATTTTCTACTATTTTAAAAAATAATTAATTGATTAAATTTAGTGGAAATGGTATTATATTTAAAAGGATTCTTTCAAAACTAAAAATGTTATTTTTTTGAAATTATTTTAAGTACTTTAAAAAATAATTTTTTACTTTTTGATACCCTTTTAAAATTGCTTTACTTTAAAATTTAAAAGTTCTTAAAATTTTATTCTTAGACAATAACAACATATTTGGGATTCCAATTTAAAAGATTTATTATTAAATTTCAAGCTTATGGATAACAATTAAATATTTTTGGGGTATACCGACAAGGATTATCCCTATAAATTCAATAAAAAAATGAAATAAACCCATATATTATTTTAATAAATCCACCGAATAGATATGAGTTACTGAGGTCCCCCTGTACCTGGTATCAATGACTTGTGAGAACATTTAGTCATACGGAATTAAATTCAGAGCGTGAATCAAAGTGCAATTAAAGCCGCGATCGAGACATACGAACAAAACTAATGGAGATACACATATCTATGTTTGTTTGCAGTGTGTTTGTGAAGGAATGTGTCACATCAGCAGCTGTTTTTTTCTTTTGTATAATACAGCGGGGTATTGATTTTCCATGGGGGCGGCAAACATTGCCAAAAATAATTATATAAACAATAATGCAGAGATAAAAACTAGGGGGTCCCGTAAAACCTTGGATATATGAAAAACACAATTGAAATGCCGGCAAACGCATTTAGTTATATAATTTTGCGGGCACTTGAAAAGCGAAAGAGTTGAGGATTAAGATGGGTGCGTAATATTCCGGTTTTTTTGGGGCTCTCCTTTCGCGGAAATGGGCGAATAACTCTTTTTTTTGGTCTACAGATTTTTCGCAATTCGCTTACCTGACTGCCGAGAACAACAATTTGGGGCAGTTGTATCGAGTCGGATCCCACCGTATTGAAGACGTCCTGCAATTTGTTTATGACCGGAATTAGGGCCTCCATCGTGCTTTGGGATGTGTGCTGGAGTTCTCAGATCGCGTTCCACTCGGTTGGCGATTAATCCGCGCTCATTAATGCCGTTCTTTTTGCGTTTTTCTGGTTGACGCGAGTACCGAAATTATTTTTGCAATATGCCAGTGTTGCACAGCGAATTTTTACTGATACTGATGGAGCTGCCACATCGCTGGAGTTTGATTGAGGGTGGTTGCTCAAAAA